GACCCATAGCGACCCTGTACAGGGTTTCCGAGGGTGTAAATCTTTACGGGAGTAGAAAGCCTCATCTTTCTTCCTCAGAGCGGCTGGTAGTTTCAAACCGCTGCCCTTAAGGTTCGCAGCCCGATTCGTAACCACTACGCTATGTAGATAGATTTTTATGAACAGACAGAGTCAAATCTACAAGGTATGGCTTAATGATAAAAGCAAGCTGAAAATATTCATGGAATGATTTTTAAAAAATTTTATCTGTATCTTAGTGTCTAACAGATATACCCCATGTGGATGTCTGTAACAAACAGCAAAAGTATTATCTGACCACTTGGTGGTGGTGGTTATGTGCTATGGAGTCGGTTCCAACTCATAGCGACCCTAGAATAGGGTTCCGAGGCTGTAAATCTTTACAGGAGCAGAAAGCCTCATCTTTCTACCACGGAACAGCTGGTAGTTTCGAACTGCTGATAGTGAGATTACCAGCTCAACTTGTAACCACAACACTGCCAGAGCTTCGTACCTTACCGCTTAGGAGGTCAGAAGTCCAAATTCAGGATGTCAACGCTTAGGGAAGGTTTTTTCTCTACCTCAACTCTAGGGGAAGGTCCTTAACCTCCTTTTTTAACATTTGTGGGCCCAGTGCTCCTTGGAGATCTCCATGTATCTTGGCATTAATCTTCCCCTGGGTCTAAGAGGTTCTCATCACAGGGGCCCTGGGTCCAACAGGTGAACTCCACCGGCAGCTCTTCTTTCTAGGTGGTAACAGATCTCTCCTACTCTGCTAACTTTGCTTCCTTATTTTCTTATATAATAAAGGCAATGCAGGCCACACCCCAGGGAAACCCCCCTTACACTGGATCTGGTCCTGAGGAGGGTGGTGACTAGGTCAGGGGGATGTGTCTCACCCCAATCCTACCTCCATTAACATAACAAACACACAGAGGTCAGGACTGACTACACAGAACAAGATCAGAGGATAATCACATCAGATCACAAAACGGAAGACAACCACACAATACTGGGAATCATGGCTTATGTCAAGTTGCGGCTACACAATTCAACCCACAATACACATCTTTATGAAGTTTCCTTCTCCTGAATCCTTTTATCCCTCTCTTAGCAAAGCACTAGGATCAAAGCCGATTACATAAGTTGTTGTTGTTATTGTTGTTGTTGCTAAGTGCCACTGAGTCAGTTCCAACCCATAGCAACCCTGTGTAGGGTTTCTGAGGAGCAGCTGGTGAGCTTGAACCGTCAACCTTGCAGTTCAAATGGCTTTGCAGTCTGGTGCATTAACCCACAGCGCCACACCAAAACCCCGATTACATAAATGGTCCACAGAAAATTCCAAGCAGAGAGAACCAGCCAACGGCAGGCAGTGCTGAGAACAGTGATGGAGTTTGGACCAGGAACCATAGTGTTGTTCTTGCCTAGCGTCTGCCATGAATGACCTAGGGCAGCTCAGGCAAGTCACTGACCAGAGCCGTGTCTGGAATGTGCATCTTGAAGATGATGGGAAGGACACGCCAGCACCTACAGACTCGTCCAGATCCAAAAGGACACAGGTCCACCTGGACCTTCTCAAAGAAAATATCGCCGTTGAGTTGATTCTGACTCATACCAACACGGTGCGTCCGAACAGAACTGCCCCACAGACTTCTCAAGGCTGACTATCTCATCTTTCTCCTGAGGAGCAGTTGGTGGTTTGAACTGCCAACCTTTCAGTTGGTAGCTGAGCACTTAACCACTGTGCCACCAGGGCGTCTTATTTTACTGTTATTGTCAAGTGTCATCGAGTTGGTTCTGACTCATAGCGACCCTCTTTGTGGTAAGACTTGCAGGACAGAGGAGAGTGTTCTCCCCATCTCCAAGGGCAAAGTCAACACCTCCAGCTGTCACAGCCTCAGCTTCACCTTGCCCCCCAGGGATCCCCCTATTATTATGCATTCTGCTGTTACAAACTGGGACAGTAACTGAGTATTCTTCCCCCACCCTCACCTTACCCTCATCTCTTTATCTTCTGCATCATGGGCACAAGTTTCTATTAAGTGACTCAACTGACCAGAAGGGAATAAGAGAGGGGCAGATGCATCATCACACAGTTGGAAAGACTTTAATTGTATCTGTCCAGAGAAGCAGAGCAGGATTTTGAAGCTTTGATGCCTTTTAAAAATCTGCCATCAGAAGATATTCTGGGTCTCGGGACCTTCACTTGACCCTCATTCTTTCTGACCTGAATTTGGGGCTTAAACTGATTTGGAGATCAGCAGGTGAGATGGCTATGTAGGCCCCAGATGGAGAGGTCAAGGGAGCTGTGGGGTCAGAGATGCCCAATGCAGCCCCTCCATGTCACTCCACCTCCAACACACACACTCCCTTTAGCTCCCTGCAGACTGGTAGCCTGGTATTTAAATCACAAGAAGCACCATAAACTAATGAGGCTTTCCCTGCTAAGCCAGGGCAGGAAGAATGGAGTTACCACTCAGAGCCTCAGCTTACGCACCTGTGAAATGGGAGCAGCATGCTTAACTGAGTTGTCATATTGAGTAAATGAGGCATCATATCTGCATCAGAGAAAGTAACAGATCACTGAAAGTCCCTGGGAGGTGCAGGCAGTTTGCAATCTGCTTCTAACTTAAAGGTTAGCAGTTCAAATCCACTCAGTGGGTCAATGGAAGAAAGGCCTGGTGAATTGCTTCCGTAAAAATTACAGCCAAGAAGACTCAATGGATCATTTCTACCCTGTACCTAGGGTCACTGTAAGTCAGAATCATCTAACTGGCAGTGGGGTTGGGGTTTTGTTGCTTTTTGGTTTATAATGATAAATTCTTCTCGCCTTCCCCTTTAACCTTTTCTGAACCACCCACAAGAAAGGATAAATCAAATCTGAAACATCCACAGGAGAGATTTTAGAACCCTAAGAAGGGTATTTGATGCTGAGATATAGACATGCGCCACATGTACTTGAACATGGGGAACCAATGCTGGTCATCAAGCTATCTGCATAGCAGGCTTTCAAACACGCAAACATTTCCCATTCTCGCAACGAGACAAGGAAGCTATCCACACTTTATCAGCTGATAAACTGACTACTTAGGTGAGGACTGGTTTCTATAGGGTTTAACCTGCTTTTCGGAATCGTGCAAGTCTTCAGGTGAGCATGTGCTCTTTTCCTAACTAGAAAAAACTTTGCAGAACATTTTGAGCAATGACAAAGGACTTTCTGTAAGAGTCACATGACAGATGTCAAAGACAAGACCAGAAGGGGCAAAAAGGGCAAATCATAGAAATTACAGAGTCCACAAGTTATTCACATACTTAGTATGTAAGTATAATAATAAAAATAATACAACCAACACAACCCAATCATAACAACAGCTAACATTTGAGTGCTTACCATGTCCCAGAAATAAGCTAAGTACTTTCTTTGGAGAACCACCCACTTGATGAGGTTGGCACAATTCCTGTGTTCATGTTCCAGAAAAGAAAGTGCCCTTGTCTGCATGCCCCTTTCAGAGAAGAAAGAGGCACAAAGGTTAGGGCCTCTGCCCGCCTGTCTGGCATCATGGTACCATGTTCCTCTTGCTATGGGAAGTGGGTCCAATCCCACAAGGGACCTGTGCCCACTCATAAGCCATACCTCCCCTATAATCTAGACCAGGTTGCCTAACAGAATTTTCTGTGATAATTGGGATGTTTTATAGCTGCCTTTTCCAATATGACAGTCACTAGCTACAGGCGAACACTGAGCACTTGATGTATGGCTAGTAACAACCCAAGAATTGAATGTTTGTGGGTTTCATCTGGGACCACCATACTGGACAGTATTGCGCTAGTCCTCTTGGATCTGTATAAACCAGAGGAATCCCAGCTCCAATCTGGATGTGCCCACTCTAACAGAGACACCTCCCCATCTGGCTGCCAACTGCACCAACCTTTCCAAGCAGGTTAAAAGCTTTCCTTCATTTCCAAGATGGAAGAAGGGCACGGATTCACGTGACTGAAATCTCTTGAGGGTGTACCATATACCTGGCTTATGGAGACTTCACACCTACTTTCTGTGTTGAGCATGATTACTCCCATTTTACAGAGGGAAATAGTGAGGCTGAAAGAGATGCAATAACCTACTCTTTGTAACAGAACTAGACAGGCAGGACTGAGATCTGTGTCCAATTCTGATTCCACCATGAAGCTTCCCTTAGTTAAACCTTCAACCTCCTAACCTGTGCCCCTAAACACATATATAAGCCTTCCTTCTTCCATAGAAGGACAGGTGACCAAGAAGAAACACTGGCTGCTCCCAGATACTCACATATATGAGTCCTGAGAAGTATCTCTCCCTCAGGTTGTGCAATACTGAAGCTTCGTTGAGGCACGTCAGTTCCGCCATGTCCTCCACCTTGGAGAACTTGGGTGGGTTCATCTTCTGGATGTCATCCTTGCCGACTGTGACCTTCTTGCCATTTTCCACCAGCTCCACAATCACTTCATCCCCCTTCTCCTCCTTGATGCTGGCTGCCTCGAAGCCTTGCTTCTCTGAGGGGATCCAGACCAGTTTCTTGGCAGCCCAGTCAGCCTGGGCCACTGGGCTATTGATGAAATTTTTGTCCACAAAGAGGAACTTCTCATCATCACTGAGTTGGCCTTTCTGTGCCATGGCGTCTGGTTAGTCCCCTGTAGAATAAGACAGACAAGAGGTGAGACCAGGCCAGAACCAAGTCCTAAAGACAGACAAACCTCAAGATTTGTCCTGTCTAGGAACACAACCAGCAGGAACACTTCCCAAAGTACAAGGATGTTACCTGCAGTATTGTTTATGAATGTCAGAACATGGAAATACCCCAAAGTCCCTTCAGGAGAGGATATGAATCATTGTCTGTAGTAGCAAAAATCAAGCAACCACTCAAATGTCCAAAAACATGAAACTGAATACAGAAACCAATGCTTTTTCGTATGATAAAGTACCATGCAGTGGTAACGGCTATGTGTGTTGATAAGGAAAGATAATCAAGACTTACTGTTCACTATAAAAATACCTGATTAGGGGATCCTCAAACAGTTAAATATAGAGTTATCATGTTGTTAAGTGCTCTCAAGTCGGTTCCTGTACAGGGTTTCTGAGGAGCGGTTGATGAGCTTGAACTGCCAACCTTGTAGTTCAGCCCAACTTTGCAGTCTAGCACATTAACTCACAGCACCACAACAGAACTACAGCCATCACATTGTTGTTGTTGTGGTTGTGTGCCGTGGAGTCAGTTCCGACTCATAGCAACCCTGTACAGGGTTTCCGAGGCTGTAAATCTTTACGGGAGCAGAAAGTCTCATCTTTCTCCCACAGAACCACTGGTAGTTTTGAACTGCTGACCTTGCGGTTCACAGCCTGACTCGTAACCACTACGCTACCAGAGCTCCTTAGCCATCACATTAGGAGGGAGTTAATTAAATGTTTGACCAAATACAGCAGGCTAATTTTTAAGCTGATCATTTTTATGGCTTGCAAACAAGGTTATAAATTTTGGCCCAAAAAAAAGTCATCATCCCTCCTCCTACCCCCACACTGTACAGAGTTTCTGAGAAGCAGCTGTGTGGTTTGAACCACTGACCTTGCAGTTCAAACAGAACTTGTGGTTCAAACCGACCTTGCAGTCCAATGCTTTATCCTAGAGTACCACACCAAGGCTCCAGAGTTACCATGTTGTTGTTGTTGTTAAGTGCTATTGAGTCGGTTCCGACCCATAGTGACCCTGTATGGGGTTTCCAAGGAGCAGCTGGTGAGCTTGAACCACCAACCTTGTAGTTCAAATGACTTTGAAGTCTGATGGCACAGTGGTTAAGCATCCCGCTAGAACTGAAAGGTCAGTGGTTTTAACTCATTAGCTGTTTTGCAGGAAAAGGAAAAGGATAAGCTGTTTCCATAAGATTTACAGTTAAGGAAACCCTAGAGGGCAGTTCCACTCTGTCCTCTGTTGTTGTTAAGAGCCGACGCGTCAATTCCAACTCATAGTGAACCTGTTTAGGGTTTCCAAGGAGGAAATGGTGGGGTTGAACCACTGATATCCATCTTGTGCTTATCCCACAGAGCCACACCAGGACTAAGGTTAAAACCACTGATAACATCAAGTCTTGTCTAAAGTGCAGGAAGACGAGGAGCCCACATACACCATCTGTGAAAGAGAGCATTTCTGTAAGGCCAACATTCCGTAGGCATGAGAAACTACGCATACCCTTTGACCTGCAATTCTGTTTCTAGGAATTGAGTCTGTAACACAGACAAGAACTAGCAGATGTATATCACTGTGCAGTGCTGTTGGGAATAGCAAGATCTACAACAATATAAACAACCTTCCAAGGATGGCTCGTTAAATTGTGGCACAACCATTCAATACCATGCTATATAATTCCCCTAAAATTTCAAGGTCTGTATTTCTGACACATGGAAGTTTTTCTGAAGAGTTAATCAATTCGTTTGCTAATTTCTTTTTATTGTAGTAAAATACACTTACAGAAAACAGATCCTTTTTGCTATTCTAAAGTGTATCTGTCACTGGTTGTGAATGTCACCAGTATTGGGTTCCTGAACATTTTCATCATCTCCAAAGGAGACACTGTGTAGGGTTTCTAAGCAGTGCCTGGTGGGTTTGAACCACCAGCCCAGTGCTTATCCTACAGCACTACACCAATGAAAGATGAATATTTAAAAATTCATAGTTTGTAATGCAAGAGGCTGAGAAACAAATCATTATTTTGAAAACTGGCAGAGAAAGGAGGGAAACGAAAACATTGATTTTATCTCTGTACAATTTCCAGCCATTAAATGTCCTCTTAATGTGGGGAGCTCATTTGTAACAGATTCTCCATCCTCTCATTCAGATGCACCTGAGGCAAGGTGCTCAGAACCTGGTCTTTTAAAACCTGCCCAGTCCCTTGGTCCAGATCTCTCAGCGGGACCTTGGTTCCACTTGCTCCCGCTCAGCTCCCCGAGCCCACTGCATCTCTCCTCCGCCAACTGTTGCTATGCTCCAAAGAACAAAGGCACAGGCTGAGACAAGACGACAGCCACCAGACCTAGTATGTCTCTGTTGCTGTTGTTAAGTGCTATCAAGTTGGTTTCAACTCATAGCAACCTTGTATGGGGTTTCCAAGGAGTGCCAGGTGTCTTTGAACCACCAACCTGTGGTTCAAACCGACCTTGCGTCTAGTGCTTATCCTACAGCACCACACCCAGACTCTGGTGTGTCTCTGGTGGAAATTAATGCACAGCTTCTTTGGGGTTCCCACGGAATTTCATGCTTGGGCCCCAAACAGCCCCATGACCACAGACGAAATCTCACATTCCTATCTGGGTCCTCAGAGCTGAGCAGCCAAGTCCTGTGGTTACACAGAGTTTGCAAGGCAAAAGTGAAGAGACTCCTGTTGCACTAACGCTAATAAGAAGCCAATTGGCTCAACACAAGGCAAGACTATTCTTCAGGAAGGCATGATCTAGTAACAGATTCAAAAAGTTTTTTAAAGCTGGAGAAATGAGTAACTCATTCTCTAAACCACTTTATTCAAAAAATTAAATTAAAAACCTGTAAAGCACAGACATTGTCCTAGAGTAAATGCTCTATCTCCTGTGTTAAACGCGGTTCAGGATGTAATAAATCCAACAGCACCTACCCTCATAATCCCCACCTTAACTTCCTTAAAAATACACTCTCTTCACCCCATAAGAATTCCAGCTAATAAATGGAAAAGAAGTAAAATCAAAATAGGATCATTCCATAATCTCTAGTAAAATAAGAAAGGAGTCCTGGTGTGGCACTGTAGGATAAGCATTGGACTGCTAACTGCAAGGTTGGTACTTCAAACCCACCAGTCACTCCTTGGAAATCTTACACACAGTTGCTATGAGTCAGAACCAACTCAACGACACTTAACAATAACAGTAAAGTAAGAAACCCTGGTGGCACAGTGGTTAAGTGCTCAGCCACAAACAGAAAGGTTAGAAGTTCAAACCACCAGCTGCTCCTCAGGAGGTAGTCAGTTTCCATACAGATTACAGCCTTGAAAACGCTCATGGGCAGTTCTCTTCTGACGCACAGTGTTGAACCAACCCAACATCAGCATTTTCTTTGGGTTTTAGGAAAACAATGATCTTGGTAATGACCATCAGTAGATATGAAAAGCATCAGACCAGTAGTCCTCACTCCTGAGCATCACCCGACAGGCTTCTTAAAACATACACTGCCAGGCCCCACCATCCAGAGCCTCCAATTCCATAGGTCTGGGGCAGAACCTAGGAATATGCATTTCTAACAAGTTTCCAGGTGATGCTGTTGATGATCTGGGGGGAGGAGTGCATTCACTTGTGGGTTTGTTTGTTTTTTAAATGTTTTATTGTGAATTATGTGACAGTTTACATGGGAGAACATTAGCTTTACATTCAGCCTATCGTATATCATTTCATTGCCATGGTTATAATCCCCTCCATGCATCATCAAACAACCAAAGGGTATACACTGCAAGCCTGTTCCCCGGTCATCAGCACACAGCCCCTCTCCCTTTCTGGGTCTAAAGTCCCCAACTGCTCCATCTCTCCACATCATTGTCTCTGCCTCCATCTCTGGCGTCACTGTTTTTCTGGGTAGGGTCCTGCTCTTCTCCCTGGATGGTACCAGGGACCTCTGCTCCTGGACTGAAAAGTCTATCACTCCCCTCCTTTT